CGTTTACCTTATTAGATCGTTTCGATTCCTTTTTGCTAACAATAAGAGATTCATCCACTGGTTTCTGCTCCATCAAATCTCTTACTTCGCCTTTCTGCACTATTACTTTCGTATTTTCTCTAATATCCTGAACACGCGGCTCCTCCCAATTAGTACCCGAAAGTATTTCCGCCTTATCCAATAATCGCACAGTGACATTTGTGTCTCCTTTTAAACTTTGCGTCATAAGGTTTCCTCCATCCGCCTTACTGCTTTTACAATAGGCAACGGTTTTGGGAGTCACCATTGGTCGAAACAAAGTTTCATCGCAATTTTCATATATAACGATCTCTTCGGGCACTACCACTTCACACTCCTCGTCTGAATGCACCGTTACTACTGTACCCAACGGGTTGACCACTTTGGCGATGGGCGAAGGGGCTGTCGAAGCGCGTTGAGGCAGCATGGGTGGCGCTTTCACAGACACGATCACGCACCTCCCACCTGGTGGACAGAAAAAGCCAATGGCAGGTTACTTGAATTTTTAAGTGGTGTTGATTGAAGTTTTGGCAGTACATGTTGCATGCAAGATCTAAAAAGTTGGCATGTAATTTCAAACAATTTACACAACAGCTTTTTAAACCAGGTGTTTAGTGCTAAAACAAAGAATGAAAAGCTTTTATGCGATAAGAGGTCTGTTATTGTCTTGCAAATGCAAAAAAAAAACATTTCAAAGGCACTATTTGCTTCCAATTCGTTACAATCGATTATTCTATGACGATTGACTTGCACAAGTGATCGGAAACAGTAGAATTAATTAACATTGAAAAACTGTAATATTTACTAAATAAATGCAACTTTATAAACTTGATCAACATAGAATAGGTGTCGGAAAAACTTACATAAGCAAAAACATTTTTAGTTTAAAAAGTTGAACAAGTGCTACTAATAAAACTTCCAATGTACTTTTTATCGCATAAATCAAGACTAAAGTGCCTGCCGTTGGCTTCGTCGTCTCGGTGGGATTAGCTACCAAAACCGAAATATGAATCATTAAAACTAAGCGAATGTTGGTTATATTGTTAGGAACAGGTATCACATCTTGGTGTAGCAGTTTGTGGATTAATTGGTGTTAATTTATACACACAAAAAATTGCTAAAAAACTATAAACATGCTTTTTGCCACAGTTCAATGTAACGAATTAATAGTTCAGACCATTTCGGTTCTAAAGAAGCAGTGTTTTGTATAACAAATCCAGTCAACATCTAGGTTTGTTGCTCTTTAAAAAGTGGCATGATCAAATATAATATTTTGAAGTTACTCAAATATAATGGTAACAAGTTAGATTATCCCCATCCAAAAAACATGAGAAAGTGGTAATAATATCGACAAATAAATCAGGAAACAGCCAAAAATAATACTGACTTGACTATTTTATATAAAATCCGGATTATCGGATGCGGAAACACAGCTTTTGTATATTTACATCAGTTACTAGTGCTGTTATTTTTGCACTGCTCGCGTTAAGTTTTTAGCAATAGATATACAGGGTGTCCCGTAAGCATATGATCAAAAGGGCACAGCGCCATTCTTTGAATCCAAACTAAGTTTTACTAAAAAAAATGTCTGGTTCCTCTGCTATGGATGGTCAAAGTTCTTCAACAATTTATCTTTCTTGAAATATCGGGAGAATGGTACGATGTATTTCAATGAAAGTACCTACGAATTTGTTCCCATGTAAGAGTCATGTTTTGATGAAGCAACCGAGTTCATCCGCTTTGGGCAAGCAAGGAATTCTTTAGTGTTCTGGGACAAAAACTACCAGAACTTTCTATTTAGTAGCCGGAATTCTTCAACCAAATCTTTCAGACCGGAAAACTGTCTAACGACCGGCAGAAATCGATTTCCATTGCCCCAAAACTTCCGAATGATTAGCCTAATGATTGATGATAAGTCATTGGCCGGGAACCAGTTAGATCTCGTGGCGGACTAGGGACCCTTTTATGCATGAGCACATTATTGCAGAAGAGTGGTGAATTTCGAAAAAACATTTGTGTGCTTTATTGACTTCGAAAAAGCGTTCGATTGAGTTGAACCCACAAAACTCTTACAATGACTATTATGATAAACCTGTATTATAACCAGACGGCTGCAGTCAGGCTGGAGAACAGCGTTACCATGTGTTTTGTCGCCATGTAATTCAACTTCTACTCCGAAAACATATATGTAATTCAACTTCTACTCCGAAAACATATTTTAACAGGCCTTGTAAGGTAGGACGGACAGAGCAAAGATAGCAGGCGAAATTATAAACAACATAAGGTTTGCAGGCGACATCGCCGTCATAGCAGAATTTATAAATGACTTGCAGATAAACATGAAAATGCAGAAAACCTGACCAAAAAAACCGAAGTGGATGGCAGTGGAAAAAATAAACATAGAACCAATTCCGATCACAATTAATGGACACAACATAAAGCAAGTAAGACACTTCAGATATTTGGGTAGCTGACTCAACAATGAAATAACATGTGACGGAGAGGTAGGAGTAAGAATTGAAATGGCACGCAAGGCGTTTGGTAAATGAAAACTCATCAAGTGCAATCGGGAAGATAAACAGGGCAGGTGTAAGTATTGACTCGAACTTGCTGACGTTAAGGACAAGAAGTTTGCTGATAGAAGCTCAGAAAGTGGGGCGCGACATTGTACTGGCCTGGATACCGGGGCATGCTGGAATTCAGGGCAATGTAATGGCCGATACGCTGGCAAATATCGGTAGACAACCGAATATTCCTAAAAAAACCGGTTTAGATAACAGAAATAATTTTAATAAAATAAAAGATAATATCCTCCAAACGTTTAAAAACGACTGGAAGCAGATAATTAAAAACAAGGGCTCCTCTTACAGACCCATACAGGAAACAGTCCCAAAGGTCAGTTGGTTTGCCAAAAAACTATATAAAAATAGACGATATATGACAACAATAATTCGTAGGCGTACAGGACTGATCCACAAATCTCCATTTGAGCAAAATCAAAATTATAGATAACCCGAGTTGCGAATGCGGCCAAATACACACTTTGAACCACATCTTTTTTGAATGTCCTATTAACAACAACGAAATATATCAAGAACTGATTAAAATCGAACATACAGCACCATTAAACAAAGAAAGAATTCTAAGAAACCCCAAAATGTCAGCAATTGAACTAATCAATGGCTTCCTAACGAGCAATAATATAAGATTGTAAAATCCAAGACTCCCATACCGGCACCAATCCACCGGTTCTCCCTGTAAATAAAACACTACTGATTAATAATCAAGACTTTAGAGAATCAGTGGCACAAGCCCGCTTACTGAACCTCTTACGTGACGAGCTGGCAAAATACCCCTAGTCGGTTGTGCCAAAGAAGAACAATAAGAAATGGAAAATCACTGTTAGCAACAGAAACCTTACAGCGCAAACGCGGCTATGCATTGGAGCATTCTTCTGTGCGGATGTGAGACATTGTCGCTTAAGATCGGCTTCATAAATAAAATAGAAGCCTTGGAAATCTGATCTTATCGCAGAATCCTGAAAATCTCTTGGACTGCACACATCAGCAATGAGCAAGTTCTCGGATAGCTGGACAAAGATCGGGAACTCCTAAATACTATAAAAACAAGAAAGGTCAGCTACTGTGGACATATAATATTGAGGTATATATATCGCTCTCCCCGCCTAATCCTTCAGGAAAAGATTGAGGGCAGAAGATGAATAGGCCGCAGAAAGCTATCGTGGCTGCGAAACACCATGACTTGGACTGGCTTGGGAGTGGAGCAGCTGTTCCGAGCAGCAGAGGATAGAGGAAGGTTCCGCCAGATGGCCATGGAGATAGCTCACACTTGAAGACAGGCACGGCACCGAAACAGACAGAGCTGGAATCTCCTGAAGTTGTGAGGTATTTTTGGACTCTTTGTAAAAGCTTGTAGCATTTGGAGATTTTGCGCAAAAAAATTATTTCTGTTCCCTTGCCAACTGATAATTTTAGACATTTTAACTTTTTACATTAACAGAACTCAAATTAAGTTTTTTATATAATAATATAACAAAACCGTTCAAATTGCTCATAATGCAAACTTGCTGTGTATTTGTTGCCTACGTCAGGGCAATATTTTGCTAAAAGATCACTTCTTCTTTACGTGAGATTTCTGATAAATTCAAGTCGGACAAAAACGCCTCCAAAGAGATCGGTGCCTAAAACTTTGGCAATGTCGGACAGTTAAAATAATAAAACGCTTGCAAATTAATTTATTATAAAAGAAGATCCCCGCATTACTACGATATTTGCAGTTAATGTGTGAGATTGTTAAATAACAAAGAAACAGATAAAATTTCTCGCCAAAACTACGATTGCTACAAGATTTCACAAAGAGCGCAAAAATTTCCAAAAAGGATTAGTGCATCAACTCAAAGCAAATCAGTTGATTCCAGCTATAAGATAAATAATTCTGGTAGTTTTTGTATCAAGACATTCAAGAATTCCTCACTTGCGCAAAGCGGATAAACTCGCTTACTTCATCAAAATATGTGTCTTAGATCAGAACAAAGTCACAGCGAGTTTAATTAAAATTCACATTCTCTCGATATGTCCAAAAACATTACAAGAACTTTGGCCATCAAGAGTAGAAGAGCCATAAATTTTTCTGAATAAAGGTTAGCCCATATCGTCTCCTTTTGATCCATAGAATATCGCAGTACCCTTTTGATCATGTGCTTACCGGACATCCTGTATATTTAAATACCATTCCCAAAATATATTTAATGTTAGAACATATTTCCTGTAAAATTACTGTTGGCTTGATTATAATTGAACTGTATCAATGGTGCTGCTACTACTACAAAATGATTAAAAAAAAAATTGCAAACAAGTTGTGACTGCTAAATAATAGAGTTTTTAAAAGATATTCACTCAAATGTCTAACAGAATTGCCCTATACGAGGAATTCAGCTTTAATTCTAAAATATAAAAGCTTACCAGCATCTCGAGCTCCTGGTGACTCTATCATGGCGTCTGCTAAATCTTCTTTGATCTATAAATAAGTGATATGAATTAGTTAACACCAAATCTGCTTGAGTACATGACGCTTTATCACCAGTCTCATTTTCCTTAAATTTGATTATAACTTGTGACAACTGACCAAAACACAGATAAAACATGTGTATGGCCCTCACAACTTACGTAGTAATAAAGATATTGATTTAATATCATTGCACAGGGTGTTAGTAAGTAAGTGCGACAAATTTCAAGAGGTGATTCTTCAAGAAGAAATAATGACAGTTTGCTTAAACGTATGCCCGCAAATGATTCGTTCTCCGAGACAAAGGTTGTTAAAGATTCTCTTATGAACTGACGATGCATTTATTGCTCTGAAACCAGTCGACAGTCGAGATACGGAAATGGAATTTGGTGGGTTTTAAGAGGTAGTCATTGTGCATTTCTTGACATACAATGTCCATCATTGGCGCGCATACGGAAAAAGATCTCAACTTTTTAAAATAAAAAAAATTGTAGGTTACTGTCGTTCAAATGTCAAATCGTCGTTCAATTTGCTACAAAAAAATCTATCTTGCGTTGTTTCGCATGGGCCGCGTTTTGATGCAAAAAAAATAAAACACTTTATTGTGTATTGATAATTTCATACTTAAATCCCAGTAATACAAAATCCAGGATCTGAGGAACTATCAGATATGACCGAAGAGGAAGTTGAATTAGCCGTAAAAGGAATGAAGCGAAATGATGTCCAAAACAAGGAGGTAAACGCGCTATAAAAGCCTTAAAGACTTGCATGCCTCTTCGAAAGGAATATACCGAAACAATGGAATGACGCCGTTATGACAATATTGCATAAAAAGGGAAGCATAACAGAAATTGGAAACTATTCACGTATCAGCTTGTTATCTCACGTATAAAAACTCATCACGGGAATACTAATATACTGGGACCTAAGCTAGATTTTCACCATTCACTGGAGCAAGCCGGATTTAAAATTTAGAAGTGGCTTTGGAAGGAATGACCACCTACAAGTAATAAAGTCTCTGATAGAGAAATATATAGAATACAACAAACCATTGATACTGATATTTCTGGAGTTTGAGAAGGTATTTGACCCAGTCCAGCATACCTCCATATTGAGAGCGCTTACAGAGTGCAGTATTGATAATAGATGCACACATACACATAGACACGATCCTTCTTCGGAATATATATACTACTATAACGAAACAGCTATAGTAAGAATGTATTATGGCGACACAAACAAATTCATCTTGGAGAAAGACAAGGAGACACTATTTCTCCAAAAATATTATCCGCCCTGCTGCAGAGCGCCATAAAGAACACAGATGAGTAAGTGTTGGAGTCAACATAAATGGAGAGTATCTGAACAGCTAGAGGCAGATGACGTTACCATCTACCCGGTCTGCAATAAGGACTGCAGACCGGGTAGATCATGCATGTCAACTTCTTCAAGACCTTCGGAGATCTTGTGCACGAGTTGGGATAAAAATGAACTTCTTGTAGTGGCCAAAAACATTTTAACGTATGACACGCAAATAGAACAAGTGTATGCCTATAAATATTTGGGCCACAAGATTAAACTGGGAAGACAACCAGACCGCAGAATTAAACAGGAGAATAGGACTGACATGGGTAGCTTACGGAAAACTGAAGGCTGTCTTTAAATCAGACATTATCATGTGTCTCAAGAGTCTTTGATCAGTATGCTCCCGGTTCTAACATATGGAGTAGAAACACTAACCCTTACCAGGAAGGTAACAAACAAAATACAAGTGATACAAAGAGCAACGGAGAGATGAATGTTGAATTTATCCCTCAGAGACAGAGTTCCAAACAATATAACCAAGGAAAATGGCGGTGTTACAGACGCAGTTCAAGGGATTACAACGCCAGAATGGAACTGGGAGGGCCATGTTGCTAGAGTCAGATATGGAAGATAGACAAAGAAAATCCTAGAATGGAGATCCAGACACGAGGCATATAGGATGCCCCCATCGAGATGGTCGGACGACATCAAGCGCATCCAGCACAACTGGATTCAAAGTTCAAGACCGGAAGCAATGGAATGACTTACGGGAGGCCTATGACCAACATTGGAGACAAAACGGCTGTTGATGATGATGATGAGTTTTATAATGACTGTATGAGTTTAGTTGTATCCAGTACGCAGAGTCCATCATCACATATTTGCTCGTTTTCAACAACGGTTGTGCGAAAATGGCACATTTAAGAAAGATACTGTTGACCGCTGGCGCCCTTGCGAACTACAAACTAAATTGCTCTATTAATTACGGAGTTACCTAAAACAACTACTCGAAAAATTGCCAATATTTTAAATGTAAGCAACTTCATTGTATTTAGAATGCTTCAAAAACAGTAATTGTATTGGTTTCATATTGAATTGGTGGAAAAAGCTTTACTTCCCAGAGATTTTTTTTGCGGTCATTTTTGTCAATGTATTCTTCATCAAATCCCTCAAATTCGTAGTATTTTAAATGATTGTCTCACTGACGAGACTACTTTTGGACGACAGTGTATATAAAATATCCATAACAGCAACTTATGTGCTGAGGAAAATCAACATGGGATCTTTGAAGCTCATTTTCAGTATGTTTACCATAAATGTATGGCTTGGGGTAATTGATGATCATTTAGTTGATCCATATTTCCTTCCACAACGACTAACAGGCCTTATACTTATATCCGGCTGTGACAATAAGAAATACACTAGGAATATTTGCGCGAATACGACAATCAATGAGGCGAAGAGTATCAGGTGTAACGTTTGAGAGAGGTAATTTTGAACAATTGATGTAGCTTTGCATCTATTAACAATTTTATTAGTGTTATTTTCCATTACTGTTCTGGTTTACTGTTATTGTATTAGATAATTCTTGATAATGTATTAAAGAAATGAAAAATACGCGTTAATGTGTTTTTTTTGCATCAAAATGGCGTCGCATCCAAAAAAAATTCAAGAGATTTTTTCTAATTTGAAATACTTCAGTTGTAAACTATAAAAAAAATTGAGATCATTTGCGGACATACGTTTAAGCAAACTGTCATTATTTTTCCATGCAGAATGAGCCCATGAAATTAGTCGCACTTATTTACTAACATCCTGTGTATGACATACTAAACAAACATATTATACAATCTTAAAAAAGTAATTGTCCAAATTTTTGGAGATGTGTGACTTCTCTTACCATTTCATTGAGTCCCTTGTAAATAACACAACTTGTAAAATACATGTGAAATTAAATAAAAATATGAGATCGATGCTGAAGCGTAACGCACTGGTAATTTTCCTATGTCTGCTAGCAAAATCTCTATGATCAAAAATTAATCCAAAGTCTGCTGTTTACTTAAATTCAGAAAAAGGTACGTTATCAAATACATATGTTATTCGTGATGTTTCTATCTCTACGAATAAAGTATCTACTAATCGACTTGATTGAATCAATTGAATTGAGAAAAAAAGACGTTACCGAATACAGGACTTTTCGCACCTGATGCTCCCCTGCAGTCCCCATTTCCTCACAATTTTTTCTGTAGATATCTAGCAAAGATTGTTCACTACTGCTGGCTGAACTTGACTCTATGAGAACAGCATTTGCTTTGGTGATAGGCATGTTTACTGGCTTAGAACGGTTGAGATCCAGGGGTTGTGCATCAGCCAATGACAGCGGGGTGCTAAATAAAAAAGATTAAATTTAATTGTAGTTGTATTGGTGATCAATATGTACAATCTGCTGATATCTGACGCTAAAAAGTGTGAGAAAGTATTTGTTTCCCGAATAAAGCAAATTATTCAAAATTACATTTTTATATAAAATTATTGCATGCAAAAAACACCAGAATTTCTTCACCAAACCTACCACCAAACTGCACCACTTTCATGCAGCTGATGGATCAAAATGTCAAAATGGTGTTTGGGGCGAGTATTGCTATTGGTTGTGTATTATCAATTTGTATTGTTTTTGGAAATTTTTTATTTAATTAAGCAGTTAACGTAGAGTATAGATCAAACGGTTAGCAGACGGTAGTTTGTGGTTGTCAAACCACGTTTTCTTGTTCTTTATTAAGCTCACCATTTTCCTTTTTTTTATATCATCATTCAAGTCAGTTTATGTACTAACACGGTAAAAGAATTGAGTAAGTAGTTCGGCAGCATTCCATCGCTGAGTGTTCTAGCTTTGCTGCGAAAGCTAGTGGCGCTCAAACGAACTCACCCTTCGGGCTTGGCACACGACCGCCCGAAATACCCGCTCAAGGAAAACCCTTTTTTTTTCTCTCTCTCTCTCTCTATTAAATTGTCATTTAAATCATTGCCTTAATTAAATAGTTTTCATTAAAGGTTGATTTTATTCTTTTGTTCTGTCCGAAATTTGTTGTGTTGCAGAGGATTGGAGACAAGTGATGAACATTTTAATTCTTGGTTTGTAGGGATCGAAGAAACAGAGCAAATTATTACAGATGAAGAAATATGTAAAGCAGTACAAGAAGAAGAAACCCTTGTAGAACCATTGGAGGCACCAACTACTACAACTGTAAAAGTTAAACCAAATAAAGTATTTAATTGTTTCAATACCTGCATAACATGGGCAGAAGAAAACTGCATATCTGCCAAAGAAATTATAATTTTTTGAAACATGCGAGAAAAGCTTTTTAAGCAAGGACAAAAGCAGACCTCAATTAAGGCTTACATATTTTAAATCTATGTATGTAATTACATGTTAATTTCGAGATATGTTACAGTTAAAATAAAACATGTCGAACAAGAACAGAAATATGTACATACATTCATTATATGTATTCTCTCTAGAAAATGCTTTATTTTATTTATTACGATTTTTTCTCTATAATCCAGTGATACAATTACAATAATCCGGCACCTTCTGGTTTTTAATACTGCCGGATTAGTAAGATTGTACCTACTATATGTATTTAATTTTGCCGGTATGCATAGTCGATCTTTTACGATGCGCCTGCCTCCCGCCGTTCGCTGGAGGCAGTTTTGGTTACAAAGCCGATCGGTTAAGCATCTGACGCACGCCCATTTTAAAGTTGGTGGGCGATGCGGAAAGGATTTGTCATCGCCAAAGCTATTTTGTGACGAAAGTTATTAGCTTCTCGTGTTTTTTATACTGTTTTTGTTATCAATATATAGATAACAATATCAATGTATTGTACAGCGTTAATTGGGATAATTCGGAGTTAGAATTAGATTTAAACATACCACTAAGGTTAGTAAAGAAAACATTACGACTACTACAGCATCGGCAATTCCATCTAACGACGCACAACTCTGCATCAAAAACCCGTCGCCTTGACGTCGACGGCGACACGCTCGGGTACCCGCCAAAAAATTTCTGGCAAAATGCCGAACATCGACTATGCATACCGGCGTAGAGTTATGTACATTTTTCCAAAACACTACCCTTATCTTCCACGTTTTGATCTTTTTTGTATTTCGAATGTTGTATACGAACATAACTGTATAACTGGTCATAAGTGAGTCATAGAAACAGCGTTACGTTAAGCAAATATTTGATGTAATTTATTTTACATTTGCAAAATGGTTTGCGCTACTTACTTTAATAAAATTCTTTCAACTGTAATAATCTTACATGAAAGCAACATATTATGTAAGTATAGTGCACTATTAACCAAAATAATGAAGAAAATCGAAAATATTTAAAAAATCATGATTCAGATACACTTTTTAGTTTTTCGCAATTTTAAGCGGTCTGAAAAAAAATAAACCACCAAGTCACATAAGCAATTTTAAACTATACATTACAACGATAAAAATGACAACTTATAAACATTGGAAATACAAAGAAATAGCAAGACAATTGTTGGTGGAAGACAATGGTAATTTTTTCGAAAAATGTACGTAACACTAAAGAGGCATACTTTAACAAATTTTCATGTAAATTAAATCATTTTTGGTTTTTTGACGATTAATTTGAGGATTTGTGAAACCGTGTAAAACACAAAAATTTTGGATTCTGTTATTATCTACAACTCTTGCATTGAACGTTTTCCGCTAGGAGATCATATTTCACCGCAAATCGAAAAAAATACCGTTTTCAACTCCAAAGCTACATCCCCATTTCACCATTTCCAATGTATTAGTGTTTAAATTTTATTTTCTTTAAAATTGGAACCACAACAACATTTTCGATCTGGTCTTTGCCTGTTATTTTTTTATTATATCAAATTCGGCACCGCTGATAGCTGTGAATAAGAATTTATCGTAGCATTCGTGCAATCGTCTTTTTCCCTGTTTAGCGGTTACTTTTGTTGCCTTACGGACAAAGCAAGAGATGCTGAAGTCAAGATGAGAAAAACGTCATTGAAAGGCGTGAATCGAGTACACAGCTGCCAATTTTCTAAGTTGGATATGTGCAAGGATCTCAGTTTCAGTGAAAAAAAAAGTATTTTTCTGAACTCCGTTAATGCCCAGAGGAATGACAAGCTATAAATCACATTGTGTATTTTAAAAAAATCGGTAAAAGTTAAATATTCTAGTAAAATGCAAGTAAGCAATTCGTAAGTAGTAATACTAAGCAAATAAATCAATTTTGAGCTTGTGCTTTGTGCTCTTTACTTAAAATTCAAAGTTCCTACTTCTGTTTGGAAATAGAATAGTTCCTGGATGGAAAATAGCGCTAGAAAGGCAATCAGGCCCCACAATAAGGCTAACGGTTAATGCTTGGGTTAAGTATACAGTTACCATATACGTTTAAAAAAGCGAAAAATTTAAGTTGTATGAATTTGCTAAGTATTCTAAGAAGCAGACGGAAATTTAAAAACATCCACGTAAGTACGGATACTGATAGAAGGTTTTTTTGCAATAAACTTAACGTTACAAAAACAACCAACCCACAAATTGCACCAAACATAAAACAATAATCATTAAATTAAGTTTTTTTTTTTATTTTCTAGGAGTCATTGTAGATTGTCAATTTTTTTGTAGTTCACTTTGTAAACATCTCGCAATAGGACGAAGTTGCATGGACCAAAATCAGTGATTTAAAGAGTCAGAAACAGGTTGCCAAACGTTTTTTTACTATTTTTACTGGTCAACTTCCGTTTGGTGGAGTGGCTAAGATAACAGAGGCAGAAGTAATCAAGCGAATATAAGAACTAAAAACCCTACCAAAACTTTCAAAATGGGCCTAAGAATAAATCAACTACAACCAAAATATAGATTTGGCAATGCGCCAACATTTTCGAACTACGGTGCATATACATAGGTTTATAAACATCATAGACGTCCTTTGATTTTTTATGGAATAGTGAATTTCAATGCGTGAAAAGTGCATTAAAAACTTTTTTTCTCAAGCAAAAAGACTACACAAAGAAATGTTGCTAGCAAAGGGATCATCTACAGTTACATTTTTAACTTCAAACGCGAGAAGGATGACTTCTGGAAAATTACCGGGTGCTTAATTCCTAACAGAAAAAATATTGTAAAATCTCTGTTGGTGACAATGTCTTATTTCTTGCGGACCCTCTCTTATAATAGCGGATAATATCACGCTTTAAGAATCCTAATTTTTGTAGTTATGCGTGTATCTTACCCACTAGTTGTAGCGTAAGTCTTAAATGTAAACTGGGGTCCCATCCATAACCTCCTATGAGGTCCAGCATGTGTTGTAATTTCTACTTGAGACAACCAATCATCATCATTGCCTGCAAACAACCGTTAAATAATACTGATTCGGAAACATAACTGAACTGTATGCTTTACCATTTTCAAACTTCTTGATGGTTATTGGAACGGCTGCAAAAACGTATATTAAACTCTGATGAGGCAAAGGCAATGGTCTATCTATTGAAAGTGGTTGCCTTTGTAAACGCCACTGCAAAAAACGGTAATTCAGGTTCAAGATAAAACCAATCTGGAATGTCAGCTCTTACTTGGGCCTTGGCAGTGACCGTTAGCTCGACCGGAGAATCATCACAGACCTTTTCTTTGGGTATATGACTAGCATGATGGGGCTCCAAGTCATACTGCACTAGGTTCCCGTGACAGTTCATAATAAACAGGGATTCCACCGGTTTAACGTTTTTATTCAGGGCTGTGTCCCTGGATAGGTGCGTCGCGCTAGAGTCGATCCAAGCTCGAGCTTGAGCGAAACAGGTGGAAACGCGCAGGGCTATATTGTCTTCTGATGAGGAGGTCAGTCGTTGGCGGCCTAAGACGTACAAGACTTATTGTTGCCTATTAGAACGGGTGTGATGACATGGATGAAAAATGGCAATTGCGCTACGCCCATGCAATTCTATTTACTCTTCCAAAGATTTGCTCTGGCGTTTCTTGAAATTAAGAAACCAATCGTCGCTCTGCTAAATAATGATAAAAAAACTAAACAACCGGCAGGCCCCATGCTTTCTAAAAGACTAAACATTTTTTTATGTCATAAGAGAAAGTGGGGTAAATTCATACAAGGGGCAAATAGGTTTAGTCACTTATCCTACACATTGCCGATTTAATATCGGTGTCCTTAAGTGTAAATTAAGTGTTCACTCATTCATCAAAGTAAAAGATCAGTGCGGCCGCCGTTCATAGAGGACGTATAGGCTTTCTGAACAGCGTAACTAAATTTAAAAAATACTTTGACAACCTACTATCGGTTGTAATTTTCGATGCAATTGACGTGCCGCTCAATTTACCGATAAACGTCGTTTTTTCATCACAACACTGTGCCTGGTGTGATTTTCGGGAGTGCGGTCTGAGAGAGAAATCGATCATGGGCAGTTCCGAAGGAAGTTCACCCCTACCCGGTACGACGGTACGGTTTTAGGACGCGCGTGTAATTTGTCGGATTTTTCGGGCATCTTAGCTTCTAATGGCCGCAAAATTAGACGAATACCAAAAGCGATAGAGCGCAACTCTTTATAGTTTTAGTTTGATTTACTTGGCAAAGAACAGACTGTAAACCGAGTGAAATAAACAATTTCATGGGGCTACTACCCTAAAATAGTAAATTATTCTATTCGCTCTTGCGATAAACTTCCAGTCCAATATGGAGAGGCAGGTTCGTAATTCCATCTCTAAGAGCAGAGATGCCCAGGAAAAAAGGTGCGTTCCTACCTAAAACCATCAACAGTTGAAACTCGCATTGTAAATATGTAGTTACTACTGAAAAAAATAATTATTTTAAACAATTGCGTCTCTGATTTTTCCAAACTCTACTATGGCTTATAAAAAAATCTATTAGTAATAATTACACGATATTTATTCAAACCATTTTCGATAACATGATATGCTGGTGCATTTTACATCATCCGACTTTATCCTTAAATAAATAAGAATGATAAAAAATGGAGAGGTAGCCGGGCTACCAAAAGAGAGGTAAAGAGAGGCGAAGCGATAAAAAGACAAGAACAAGAAAGAAAAATAGATAAAAACTAAATTAAAGGTGCGCTTTCACATCTGTGACAAATGTTAGCAAGAAATTCGAAGAATAATTAAAAGAAGAAATGCTTAATTATAAAGAATAAAAAGTTTAAGTTTTGAGGAACAAAGATAGCATTAGTATTATATTTTCCAAGTGCATAATATGCACTATCGCCTGCGGAGCAATCTATCTTAGCCAAGGGAGGAAACTTTGTGCCCCGGGATCACCAACTTACGATATAGCAAAATATCTATCCCCTCTTCTGCCAGAGCCTTCAGCCACACTTGGGGTCTACAGAAACATACGTCAAGGATTCCGAACATTTCATTAAGAAGATCCAAGACCTCAGACTAGAACCTACGGACATGCTGGTCAGCTAGTGGCTGAGCTATTTGAAGAGAGTACAACAAATCTGTTCAAGGCTTGTCTAAAGAGCAGCTACTTCCTGTGAATGGTTACTACGAACAAAAGGAAGGAGTAGGCATGGGAAGCCCACTCAGCCCGGTGGTGGCAAATCTATTCATGAAGAAGTTTGAGGAAACAGCGTTGAGCACCGCACCCCTTAAACCAACGATCTGGTACCGATATGTCGATTACACGTTCGTGCTATGGAGGCATGGACGCGAAAACCTGGACATCTTCCTCGACCATCTAAACAACCCTGGAAGTTGAACAAAACTACCAACTGGCCCTCCTGGATGTTTTGGTGTCCAGGCAGGGGAATCGTTTGGACCACAAGGTATATCGAAAAGCCACCCACACAGACAGATATCTTCACAAGCTATCTAACCACCATCCGAGACAGAAGCAGGGAATCATTAAGATTCTTACGGATTGAGCCAGAAAAATATGTGGACACTTGGAAAAAGATTTTCTTCAGAACGGATATTCCCAGTTGGACATCAAAAAAGCTGTAGGAGTAAGCTGTGCTGAAAAAAGTGAATCCACTCTGAAAGCTTTCCTGCCCTTTATTCCCAGGGTTTTGGACAGAATTGGGAGGCTCCTGAGGAAACACAACATAAGAACAGTCTACAAGCCCACAACAAAGATCCGAGAATGTCTAGGGTCAGTTAAAGACAGAAGACCCCCCTCGCAACTGCAGGAATTTACCGCATTCCATGCTCCTGTGGAAGCGTCTACATAGGAACTACTAAGAGATCGGTTGCGACAAGAATAGAAGAACACCGACGGAGGCTTTTTAAATTGGGACATGTGAAAAAGTCGGCAGTTGCGAAACATGCCCTCAGCGACGGAACACACAACATCTATTTCGGAGAGGCACAGGTCGTGGCCACAACAATGGCCACAACAACAGGCTATCGCCCCAACCAATGGCGTTAAACAGGATATGGCTTCCAGCACTCACCAACGCAAAAACAACAAGAAAAAGCAACAGCTGAGGACACGAGAAAGAATCCAGTACACTGGAGGATAGCAACAGCCAACAGAATGCGCAGGTTCCGATGACACAGGCCACGTTATCACAAACCACGTTATCGCAATCGGTGCATAAATACGGACTGCGCCCGAGGAATCGCATCGGAACAGTGTAAGCGTTCAAGCAAACCTCTTAAGTAAGTAAAAATGAATTAATTTACACAAACATTTGTAAAAGTATGTTATTTTTTGTGTTGATTAAGCATTATTTTTTGCAGTTCAAGAGTCGACTAGTTTTCGAGTTATGAAATTTTTTCGAAAAAACTACCTTTACCTTCCACGAACAATTGTATTGATCTTTTTTTGAATTTGAAAGTGTATGTGAGATTTTTTCTAAACTTTGAAACCGCAACAACATTGTTCACCTGGTCTTTGCCTGTAATTTATTTTTTATGCCTGTAACTTATTTGCACTTGCATACACTCAAAAAATAGCCTACAAATATCAGAATAAGAAAAAACTACAGAAAATTATTTCAAGATTTGCGAATTCTGTCAGACGGGTGAAATAGCCATAATAAGAGATTGCTTGTTGTCTGTGATACCTTATTGGTTTTCTTGTAAAATTTTGACAATTTGTCTTTCAGGAAAAGTCCTATACGAAGTTTGAATCAATGACTAGTTTGTAAATTTCAGTTTTTTTGCCGAAGAAATTTGGTCAAAACCTCTAGTTGTAGATATTATTATCGAATCCTTGATTGACGTCGCAAAAAGGTGTTTATATTGTAAAAGAGGTGATGTTTCTGCTAAACAATAGAAGTATAAAAAACATTACCACCGCGCGACTGTGAAATTCCAATCGTTGACTAAATTACAATATTGAAAGTAAGCAACTCTATTGACGATCATAGCAGTTAAAGCTATTATTCTGAAATGAGTGATGGGTCTGTAGTATAGCTTGTATGATCGTGCTGTGTTCAAAGCATATCGTGTGCATTAGTAGTGATATTTAATGCAAATAAATAAAAATTTTAGAGTGGTTAAATAAGATGGCTTACCCTGTCTAGGAATGGAGGCGCCTACGTTCTGCATATACACAGGTTGCCTTAATTGGGCGAGTGGATTGACCACGGTAGGGTGAGGGTAGGGTGCAAACCGTGGGTTTGCATAAGGGTAACTAGAGCTTACTGGAGAATCAAACATGGAAACCGGACTGTTAGAACGACCCTCTGAGGTTAACCCAGCCGACCTGTGAAACCTGAAAATTACGCCCATTATTTCAGATTGATTGTTCATCATTTCCCATGTATAATTGTACCTAGACATCCTATTAACGACATGTGGTGTAGTATGAGTTCTAACTCCGATATTACCACCATAAGGAGAAATCGGAAATACATGGGTAGTTCCTCTTAGAGTTGAAACTGTGACCCATCTCGAGTCAAAAGAGAAAGACATATCTTGCACTCTAGCCGAAGTGTCACCTAAAAATTATCCATAAAAATTTCCTCTTGACGTGATCTTTAAAATACATACCTCTATGTAAAGTGTACAAATGATGGACTGCCGTCAAAGCAGACCCAATTGGATGAGGGTAAATTTTAAATAAGTTAAAATCATGCCCTCTTTTATCGGCAGTAAGTAAAAGCAGTCCACACGGTCCGAATTGCAGCCATACTATAGCTTCAGAGTGCGCCACAAAATGAGCAACTATGGATTCGGGATGATGAGAACCATCTGCGTTTTGGGAAGATGTATTCTGAAATATCGGAAACGTTTCTATATATTCAACTTAATTAATATCGTCCCAAATTCGTTCTCCAAATATATTTTTTAACTTTCTATTTTATTTTTCACCCCAAAATCTCCCCCGATTATTAATGAATAATAAAGTCTTACCTCTACATCGAGGATAGTAACAATGCCTTTTTGCGGAACATCAGCAGAACATCCCGCCTGAGGACTGTTTGGAGATGTACCTAATTTGCTAACTTGATTTCCGGTTAAGCTTAATGCTACAGCATCTCCAAGTTCCCTTAAGCCCCTCCCTAGCGATTTGGCAGCATGTAGTACCGTAGCTGTGTAACTCTACCATAAAGCAAAACAATGTTTTAATAATCTTTTAATTGTACACACTTTCCTGACTGTGTTTCAATTTTGATAATCTTTTAAATAATATGACAGAATCGAACTATATTCAGTACCTACCTGCACTCCTTCGCCCTCATTTCCGCCACTGCTTCTTCGAGAAGTCACCAGTTTCTTCTCGGCAAACGCCAACCATCTAGGCCCTAAAGCAATTGGATTTGCCTGGATGCCGGGACTGAGATAACAAGACGTTATGGTCAGCTTGTCTTCCAGAGTGAAGGCATCAAATACAGCGATTTTCTCCGAAAATGTTACCACCACAGAACGTCGGTTTGCAACGACGTCTAGGATTGGACTTTTGAATTTTATTTGCTTAACCTGCAACAATTGCATATTGGACATGTAACTAAATTCCTTTAAATAGCTTTGAATATATTTGTCATACATCATGATGTCTGGATCATGAGAACTTAATCAAAAAACACTTTTTAAAGATTTGCATATGTTCTCAACTAAATCGCATCATTCTCCTCATCTGTAGGGTTATCATGTATTTCGGTGCCAATATTGCTTGCCGTTTTTTCGACTGAGAAAAGTTTCTTCGACGGTTTTGGATACGTCATGCAGAATCGTTCAACTGTGATTTCAGTTATACAAATGTTAGGTCTTAGAGCAGGGTTTCCCAAATTTGTTTTATAAGGAACACTTTGCAAACCCAGAAATTTTAACGGAACACTTAGTTTACTTTTAAATTTATTTCTATTGTTTATGATTATTAAAACACATAATTCAATTCATTAAGACGGATCTAACACGATGACGACGGCAAAGAAAACGGCATATGAGAAGTGGAACTACTGATATGGAGACAAACCTAAATCAGCACAAATCCGGAGAGTGGTCGGGGTTGTATGACAGTCGGGCGAAACGGTATCCTTGAAAAAAAGTTGATAGAGGAAGTTGCTCCCTAGGGAGCTTAAATGATCGACTGATATGACCCAGTAGAAAAGCCTTCTCCCCGTTGTTGGCAGGTTTCACTCCATAATCCGAACCGATAAAGTCCCGAAGGTTTCGTTGGGCTGGACATGTACAAAGACAGTCAGATGAACGTTTAGTAAAATTAGTGTGGGAAATGAACCCACAAACAAGAAGTTAGTTTCTTTTGTGAAGCAAAAGAACACACAAAAGAAAAAAAAGAAAAGGCCGGTATGTTTAGTCGCATGCATTTGTATTGCTATCTATATATTTAAAACAAAACTAGTATTAAAAACAAAAGAAGTTGAGTACTTTCGCTCACAAAATAGCTTCCACCGCATCTGGTATGGAAAATACTTTAGAAAAATTTACTAAAGCCAATTTCAGAAAACGATTTCGTTTCTCAAAGAAAATTGTGCAAAAGGTTTGTTGCACAGGGCGCTGCGGTAGGTCGCATCATAAACGCCCAACAAGCTCCGCCCTAAATTTTGGCACTAATGAGAGCAGACTCCGCGGGTATTTAAGACCCTGCATCAGAAACTTCGGGATCATCAGTACAGTCGATTGTGCTGTTAAGTTTGTGTGCAAGCCAAGCCGCTGCAAGAGCTAAACAAGTGCGATTGTGTTCAGTGCTTACATAACCCGTTTACTCTGTTTTAGGAGCATCGAGCAACCTGTTGAGTATTTTTTAATACCGTTTTCATTCGGTAATGGCGCCGAATACAGCGCTGGAGAAGAGGCTCCTGCAGGAGAATGAACGGCAAAGGAGGCAGATTGCTGAGCTTCTGGCTGAAGTCCAGAAGCTCACGCAGCTTCTTACGGCGCACCTCAAGCCTGCGGGAGTAGCTCCTGCAGCGACTGCCGCACTAAAAGCTCCGGCCAGCTTTAGTGCGGCAGTAAAAGTGGCCCCAAAACAGCAGCTGCCAAAAAGCCTGTGATCCCCACTGCAGGGCCAACCGGCTTGGCTCCGTCGACTGCGGACCTGTCAACTGCTCCGCAGGAAAACAGGAAACGCAGGCGAGAGGAGCAGGACGACGTGGCAACGCTGGAGGAGGCAACAGGGATGGAGACAGACTTTCCAGTGGCCAGCAGAAGGGCGGAAAAAATTCCGCCAATAAACGTTGAAGGCCAGAGCTGGAAGCAGCTCAGTAAGGCCCTCAATGAAACCAGCATTGTCGTGGATAAAGCCACGACAACAAAAAAGGGCATCAGCCTGTTAATGAAGTCTTCTTCGGATTTCAGGGCCACAACGAAGCTCCTGGAAAGCCTCCAGTGGCCGTACTAAACGTACACACTGCCGGAGGACAAGAAGTTAAACGTGGTGATTAGGGGGCTGTCTAATGACTACGAAGCTGCGGAAGTAGAAGCGGAACTGCGGGAGCAAGGCATCCAGGATGCGGAAGCTTTCCAGATGGTTAGCCGACGCACGAAGCAGCGATTGGCGCTGGGTTTGGTAAAGACTACCAACAAGGATATCTGGAAAATACCCAGATTGTTCAGCATGGTGGTGAAAATAGAGGCCAAACATAAGTCGCAGGAACCAGGGCAGTGTTATAGGTGCCCGCAATTGCACCTACCAGGCACGCTGTGTGAAATGTGGTGAAAACCACAGAAGCAGTGAGTGCACACTGCCCACGCCTGCAGAAGGTAAAGAGCGCAACAGTAAGTGTGCGCTCTGTGGTACTGCGGGACATCCAGCCAGCTGGCGGGGTTGCCCAAAGAACCCAAAAAAGACAATCCCGGTAGTCCGAAAGGAAACCAGGAAGCAGCCCAAGCCGGTAGAAGCCCACCAGATGGACACCTTGGACCAGCAGGAACTGGCAGGCATTTTGCGGGCAATACTGGACAAGCTGCTTGGCTAAAAAGCCATCGAGCCTCGTGGAATGTCAACGGGCTGCTATGTCGACGTCCGGAACTGGACGTATTCCTGCAGAGCAGACAACCTGAAGTGGTGGCACTCCAGGAAACTCTGTTATGCTC